GTGGGGTTAAAAGTTAAAACTGTAAAGCATGGACCTCAACCATGGGTCAAGAACTCAAGGTTAAAACCATGTACCTGAACTGTGGTTCGAATTCAAACCATGGGCTTGAACCTCGGACATCGGATGATTTCTCTTTCCTCTGGAATAGAACCCTGGATGCACAATAGACCTTGGTGCTTCAGCCTTGCACAGCCCAAAGTCACAAATTGCAATCCTTCAAGCTTGCTGGTCTACAGATAACCCGCGTGCTCTATCTGGACCAGCAAAGTCTCTCAAGAAATAAAGAGAAATGGAAACGAAAGAAAAAGAAAAGCCTGCTCCCTCGTGCTGGACACCGGTTATCGGCCCCGTTGAGGCGCCCATGGCATGAAACTACTGTCCATGGATCCTGCTGTCAAAGGAGTTGGGAGAAGCCCATGTGCAGCTGCTGGCGCTGCACCATATAATGCTGCTCTTGTAAGAGGCGGGATGTGGGCGGTGCTGCTGTAAGTAGGTGAGATAAACTGAGGTTGGGACGATTGGGCAGAGCGCCTGAATGCACCTGGTGAAGTTGCGTAGTCTGCAAAACCGCTGTTCGATGAGAACGGCATACCAATGGGCATGTTGACAGAAGAGAGGAGTTCAGCTGCACAGAAGAACACACGCAGCGCACAGTTTCTTGCCAGTTATTACAGGGTGAACATCATTTCAATGAAATGTGAGTTAAAAAAACATGTGGACACCAGAACTGAATGATGACAAGGGTCATGCGTCTAACGTACTCTAACCTGTCCTGTTTGGAATATAAAGAGAGAAGAGGGCAATTATAGAAGTGCATAAATCTAGTGCACTTGCATAACTGACAGATGTAGCCCTAACACTCCCCAGTTGGGTGCAAATTGACTGACAGACATAGCCCCCAAATTGACTGACAGATATAAGCCCCAACAGTCCCCACTTGGGGGCAAATTAACTGACAGTCAGGGACATCCGTTAAGATTCGAACGATACAGAGAAACTTAGCATGCCCCCTGTGCAAGGATGACACACATAAATGAAGAAATGAAAGGAAAAACTGTATTTAAAAACAAACAAAAAACTGTCAGTCATAGCCCCAATACTCCCCAGATGAGTGCCAAATGACTGGCAGATATAGACCCAACACTCCCCAGTTGGGTGCAAACTGACAGATATGCCCCAACACTCCCCAGTTGTCATCACATCATTGGGTTTCAACTTTGAACTCGATAAAATCCAGGAATCCTTGCCTTGCTACTAGTCCATTTTTCATTCTGAGCAGCCCAACAACAGCAGCCCAAACTGATTTCCATCTTTTATCTTCCTTTTGCATCTTATTCAGGGTTGCATACCTGCCGACCGCCGACCCCAACCCCGACCGCTGACCGTTTTGCAGCCAACCAATAGGGCCGACCGGTCGGCGGTATGCCAACCAGTCAGATAACATACATTCAATGATTTCTTTTCAAATCTGGGGGAGGCATATTGAGAGAAGAAGCTGTAATGACCAGGCGTTCTATGGTCCATTCTGCACTGCCTTCTGTTCTCCTTCATCCCTGGACCCCATCAGCCTGGTCATTCAATCCCCTCCATAGCACGTGGAGAACGTTTTGATCAGTTGAAATACTGTTTTCTGCCGATTTTTTCAACTATTCGCCATCATGAAACTGAATATGTAGTATCATCGAAAGCCCAATTAAATCACTGGGTGATACTCAGGGACTTCTTAGAGTGGGAAATTTGTTTCAAGGCCACACGATTTGCCCCGATGTCCTTCCTATCCTCCCCAAGACCTTCCCCCCACGCACACACAGAGAGACAGAGAGAGACACAGAGACACAGAGAGAGAGCGAGAGAGAGAGAGAGAGAGAGAGAGAGAGAGAGAGAGAGAGAGAGAGAGAGAGA